AGCAAGGATACTCTACGCCACCTAACTTAACTAAGTCCCTCTCGGACAAGCGAGTAGTCGAGAGAGGGACTTATGGCTTATACATGAAATTTGGTGTGTGAGCCAATTTTTTTTGGCTGGGGACTTTTTCTACCCTGGATAGCTCCATCCCCTGCAAATAAATATCCTCTTGACCTAAGAAAGGACTTGTGCGCCTGCTCAACCTACACATATTGGATCTTCTAAATTTATTTCATTGGGTTTCAGAAAATGCTAGAAACCTGAAAAATTGAGTTTTGTGTAACAATCCAGCTTGCCTGGTGTGAGGTTTTGACACGTTGGACAGCTTTCTCAGGTATTGAGGTGTTTTTTTGAAACTTTACCCCCTTATTACTCTGCAATCAATGAGCCAGATGAGGAGTGAGATACATTCAGGTGCGTAGAATCAGCAGGCGCACAGCACTTCTCTTTGGTCCAGAGGATATTTATTTGTAGAAGACTGAGATACGGGGGTTTGAAAAGATCACCAAGATTTTTTTGGCTCACACACCAAAATTTGTGTATAAGCCATAAGTCCCTCTCTCAACTACTTGCTTGTCCGAGAGGGACTTAGTTAAGTTAGGTACGCCACGTAAATTTTCAGAAAACTTTTGCAAAGCAAAACAAGAAATAATTTTCTTGCTATGCTTTTGGTGGCTTTGATATTGTGTCAGCCATGGCTTATCAGGATTCCAAGAAATCTGAACTACATTTGAATTGGTTCCAGCTAGGCCTTCGCCCCGGCCCCTCCCCGGCCCTTCTCGGCTCTCTCGAAGCCCGCCCCCGAAATTCCCCGGTGGAAAACATTTGCGAAAACTGGTCCCGGCTCCCGACCTCGCAAGTGCGGGAGTCGGGGATTCCCCGCAATTCCAGGGGTGCAGCGCAGATTTAGCGGTGCAGGCCTCACTTTTAGCGCATTTTAGCCCCTCCAGCGTCCCCGAAGCCCGCCCCCGCAAGCTCCCCGCCATTTGTTTCTTCCCAACACTCATCCCGGCTCCCGACCTCGCGGGGGCGGGAGCCGGGGAGTCCCCGGAATTGCGGGGCCGGGGTGAAGGCCTAGTTCCAGCAACCAAAAATCAAAAAAAAATCAAAAACCTTGCACAATTTTATCCACAAAATTTGGCACAGAAGCCAAAGGTTTTCGGAGAGTTGTGGTATCAGTCTTTCACTGAGACTCCCTGAGACAATACCTGGCACATACAGGGATAGTACAATTTCTTCTCAAGTGGTGCATTTTTTATTCTCTGAAATTCCGGGCGTCTAAAAAGGTGTTTTTCAAAGGAAGCAAAGGCCAAGTCAAGAAAAAGGAACCTACATTAATTTGTTTAGAACATCAAATCAAGTGGTTGGGTAAGAAGAAGTCGCATAAGCTCTGTGAAAAGTAGACCCACCAAGACATGAATTGAGTAAATCAAAAGAAATGATATAAAGAAGATTAAAATAATGAATTGCTCCAAAAGAAAACAACAGTATAATTCTGAATGATAAAAGAAAACTATTCAAGATATCTTTGTAGTTCCTTTCAAAAAACAAGCTTTGTAAAATTTACCGCGCTCTTAGCCACATGAACATAAAGGTTGAGAGCCATTACGAGGATTGAGGGCTTCAAGAATATCATTTCAAGTGGCAGTATAAACAATAGAATGTAATGAGAATGATAATTGAACGGTCGAATTTGATTGTGAAAACTTATAAGATTAGCTTCATTGGCCAATAAGAGGGAGATGCCAAGTTGGATTGTTTTCAATTCTGAGATTAGAAGCTGAGCTTAACAATATAGGATGGAAAAGCTGAGGAACAGATTATTGAAATTCATCTTGAAGTTGCTCTGAGTCTGATCACATTGAACATGAAAATGACAAAAAACCTCAAATTTCAATTTATATTTCTATCATCCATTCTTACATTGATTGTGCGGCCGAGTAAAAATTGGACCAATCAACCATGGTCACATTCATGTCAGATGAGGAAATGACAAGATTTTGAGGATGAAGAAACAAATCAATAATGAACTAGGTATGGAGTGCCACCACAGGCCACCACTCTTGACCACACTGTATGACGGGTGTACAGAAAGCCACTAATTTCTGTAGCTCAGAGAGTCTCAGAGAGAGTCTCAGGATAAGACTGATACTGTTACGCTCCCAAGGTTTTTGGCTGGAGACTTTTCCACCCACTATACCACATTACCTTACAAATAAATATCCTCTTGTACAAAGAAAATTCTTGGTCATCCTCTTCTTCTACACATGTCCATCTGATTCATTTTTGGTTTTCCTTTATTGCTGCAGATGTAATATGCTTCACACTTTTGAAAATCTTACAGATTTTTGACCCATATGTCAAAGCTGTCAGTGGCTTGCAGCGGGCCAGTCTGGAATGTTACAGAGAAATATTTTTTTCAAGTCTCTTTCTTAACACTTTCCCAATTGAAATGCAAGAATTGAAAGGTATCATCATGTGTAGAAAAAGTGGATGATCAAAACTGTTTTTAGTGCCACAGGATATTTATGTGTAAGATATTGAGATATAGTGGTTGGAAAAAGTCTCCAGCCAAAAGTTTTGGGCTCCTGTGCCAAATTTCGCGGATAAGATATAAGTCCCTCTCTCGCAAGCTCACTTGCCAAGAGGGACTTACATAGTTAGGTTAGGGCCAGAAACATCATTTATGGAGCAAGCAATGTGTTGCCATCAGAAAATGACCCTTGGGCCTTGACAGCTCTTCAGTGGTGAGCCAATTTTTTTTCCTGACACTCTTGGGACATGTACAGTACAGCCGTTACAAGAAAGGTTCACAGCTTTTTTTGGAGAAAGTTGTCTCCGCATTGGTTAAAACCAGAGACAAAACTTGATTACAGGTTTATTCTTTTCTGTATTCTTCCAATTGACGGAGAGGCAAAATCAAGTGAGGGACAAAACCCGGGTTTTGCACATTGGCAAGATTTTTTAAAAAAAAACAATCTTTGTTGAAACAGCTGTAAAAGTGTGGTCATTACAAAAAGGGTCGGGTAGCTTGGCTTTTGGTAAAACCGCAAAGGAAAGGTGATTTGGGGAGGACAGAAACAAAACAATTTTCATTCAAATGGAAACATTTACACCCATATTGAAATATCACAATGGTGTGGATTAGCTGGAGATACAAGGCCAGAACAAACTTGCTAGCTTGCATACATAAGATCATTTGTCACCTAGAAGAATGGTACTTGAGGGTTGAAAGAGTGCTATACTACTTGGGAATTGGTTAAGTGTATTCCACTATTCCGTGTCAATTGAGTCTCAGACTTTGATAGAAATTGCTTACCACTTCAATTCTTATGTCTATCTGTGGCAGGAACACTGATGAACCCCTGTATTTCCCTTTCAAATGGGATATATGGTCTTTTGTATACCCAGCCAAAGCAAGATTTTGGCTATTTTCTCAGTGTTTGAGTGTAAGTTTAAATGCCTGACCTGCTCAGAAACTTCAAAGGACTGCTGTCTGAGACTTACATTTCTGGAAATGTATATGTAGACCAATTAAGGAGACAGATACTGTTTTGGAGTTTGTTTTGTCCATCTGGCATGTTCAATTGATGATTTTGAGAAAGGAAAAGATCAAGGGTTGGGATTTTTGAATCACACACTCACTTAGGCCAAACCCACTGGTGAATTGTACCAAAAGGTTGATAATGGTTGGTATATACAATTTGGAACCCCACCCTCATTGCAAAATTCCAGTGATACAGATTATTATGGGATAACAATGAATGATGAGACACTCCAAATGTTTACCCTTGAATATATCTTTGAAGCAGGGACAAATGCAGGAGTAGATGATCAGCTTAGCTGGATGATATAACTTCAAAAATATTTCATCTGGAAGATATAACTTTTCAAGAACCTTAGCAGGTATATGAGATAATTGAGGAGATGAAGTACGGAACTTGCTTCAGGTGAATGAATATCTTAACTTGGAGACCTTCATGCATTAATTACCAGCTGAGCCAAATTGCAGCTCCAAGTATGTATTATTGAGTTAAAGTAAGTGGAATGTTCACATTGAAGCACTTTTTCTTTATGGCTCAGTTTTGTGCTTACATATTTCTTGATGATGGCAAGAGTTTCATACAGCTGATTCAATCTTTATAATACTTTTTGTCAAGCCATACCAAAAACTTAAAGCTACTCATTTGAATGCCATACTTGGTTTTTTAAATGTAAAGTTGGAGTATCCTGCACCTGGGACTTGATACAGCCATCCCACTGGTCTCTTGATATCCCAAATCATTATAAGCTACCTTACCTCTAATGTCTAAGCAGCAATCTGGTTGAATTTGTGGGTTCCCTTGCCTTATATTTAGTGACAGATTAGGGCAGCGACTGCTTGACAATTCTGATTGACTTTAGAAATATGTGATATCATTGGATTAATGTTTTTCAACTACAGGCGGGCATGGTGGTATGCAGTAAGAGAATTTAAGGAATGTTGACAGAAGCAGCACATTCTAGCAATGTCCAACACAATATATGACATTGTGAGCTCTACCTTTATTTCTGCGCACCATTGCTTGCTGACATTTCTATTTCAAAAGATGATGAAAGAAGCTGGGCTGCTTGGATGTTTAGGACATTTTGTAGAGGGTGAACTTGAATCAAGCTGATTGAAAATACATAAGCGGTTGTTGTGTGTTAGACTCATGTAATCGGTCGATCAAACTACTAATCTACGGCAATAACCCTGAAATTAACCGATTCTTCCAGAATCTCACACTACATAATCACATTACACACGCCTGGTCACCCTGTCATACCATGCAGTGCCCTCTTCAAGACTTCCTGGGGTCGTTCGTGGTAATCGAACTCTCACTGCTCAGTGCTTACACAAAGACCCTTCGCATTTGCTAGTTTGCTTGTCTAGGTAGTGAACTCGATCATTTCCCTTGCTTTTCAAAAGACTTTCACTCGGTTTTCTCTTCTGTTTTCCTTTTTATTTTTTCGTCATCATGCAAGGACAATATGGCTTTTTACAACAGGATCCTCGTTTTCTTCAACAACAACAAGCATCAAACCAACGTCAAGGCAATGCAAATCAACTTCAGCCACAGCAAACTGGATATGTCCAACCTCAACAAACTGGATATGTTCAACCTCAACAAACTGGATATGTTCAACCTCAACAAACTGGCTTCATTCAATCTCAACAAACCGGTTTTGCGCCTCCTCAACAGATGGGCTATGTGCAACCACAGCGCACTGGATATATGCAACCTCAAATGACCGGGTTTGCTTCAGGTGGGATGATGAGGCCTCAACCGACTGGATACGGTATGCAAACCCAACAGACTGGCTTTGCTGGAAGTTCTGGCCTACCACCGATGCCAGCCTTACCAAGTCAATACCAAGGTCAGCAACTTGGACTTCCCAATTCGTTACCTGCGGTCAACTCTCGTTTCAGTTCTGGTCTATCTCCTATGGGCTCTCTCGCTGCTCAGCCAACTGGATATGGAATGGGATTTTCTGGACAACTACCGGCTTTGGGGGCTTCTTCTCAGCCGTTTTTGAACACCTTCATGCCTGCCCCTGGAGTTTCACAACCTTCAATGTTCGGAGCCTCGAATTTCCAGCCCTCGCAGATGCAGTTTGCTCAACAGCCTAATCAGTTCAATGGAATGAGTCTACAGCAAACCTTCCAACAACAAAATCAACAACAGATCGGCCAGTCTCAAGTCAAGGTTCCTTGGAAACTCTCTACGGAAGAAAAGAAAAGTTACGATCAGATCTTTCGCGCTTGGGACCAGGCTGGAACAGGGTTTATCGAGGGTAAAATGAGCACAGAAGTCTTTGCTCAGAGTGGATTGGGACGAGAGGATTTGATGCAGATTTGGTGAGTTGAATTTTCATCGTTAGAATGTACCTTGAAACTGATATCATTTTATCAGGGGATTGGCCGATGTAGAGAACCGTGGCAAGCTCAATATGGCCGAATTTCATGTCGCTATGGGTCTGATCTATCGTCGACTAAACGGAAACCCAATTCCTCCTACTCTTCCAGCTGAAATGGTCCCACCCTCAGCCCGAGATCTAGACAATTCGGTCGATTTTCTCAAAGACCTTCTCAAAAAAGACAACGCTCGATCAACTGGCGAATCTTACGCCCAACACACTTTGGGGCCTGTTCGTTCCTTGCACAGCAACAAAAGTTCTCCTGACCTACGTAAAGATGCCACGATGTATAAGCATGATGAATACGATGGCTCTGGTACATATAAATCGCGATCTCGCCACATAGATCGCCGGGATGTTCGACATGCTGGCAATGAGAAGACTGGTCTCGATGATTTGAAACGTGAATTGGACCGTACTGATAGCATCATTGAGTCATCCAGGCGCGAGAATGAAGACGATGAAGGGCTCGATCACGAGTTGGAAGATCTGAAGTATCGCATCCGTCGCTTACAAGATGATATCGAGCATAACGCACGATCTGGTAGACGCTCTGAAGCCAAAGATGACGAACGCCGGCAATTAGAGCGTGAGTTGCTTCGTTTGCGCCACGACGACTTGCCAGATCTCGAAAGGCGCATTGAATCTCGGGACCGAGAGCGCCGCCGCGAGGCCAATAGGTACGCTCAGGAAAGGGATTCTCGCAATAACAGGTCACGCTTTGAAGATCAGGGTCGCGATCGCGACGAATATCACCGCCGCGACAGTGCTGGTGATCGAGGCTACTTGAAAGGATCTTATGATCGAGACACACCTTCGCGCACTTCCGAAAGAGCACCTCGAGATCTTCCCTCAAGAAATTCTTACCGGGAAGCCCCATCGAGGTCTTCCATGCGTGAAGAACGCTCACAACATGATGACTTTGATCATAACTCAGCAAGACACGACTCGTCTGCCCCCACAGTAGCCAAGCCACCTCCGCCCACAACTACAACCAAAACCATGACACCGGAGGAAAAAAAGGCCTTTATCCAAGCTGAAGCTCAACGTAGAATCCAGGAGCGACTTCGATCTCTTGGAATCGGTGGAACTGTCTCGACACCTGCCGTCGACCCTGATGTGAACTCTCGTCTGGAGCAAGAAAGACAAGAAGCTGCCATACAAGCTTCTAAAGCGGATGTTGAAGCTGAAGCGCGAGAAAAACAACGTCAAATCCGTCTGGAGGAAGAAAGGCTAGGCCGAATTCAGGCGGAAGAAGAGTTGAATTCAAAGACTGCTGAAGCCATTCAAGTCAAAAAAGATACTGTCAGTATTCCGTCATCAACGACCGCGGCCTCCTCAAATGCAACAGCAGTTTCTGAAGAAGAAGAAGCCCTGAAGAGAAGAGAAGAAGCTCTGGCCAAAGAAAAGGCGGCACGCATCGCCAGGATTAAACAATTGGAAGAGGAGGAGGAAGAGAGTCGCAGACTAGAGGAAGAATTCAAACGCAAGAAGGCGATGTTTGCATCTCAAGAAGGGGTCTCATCCCCTATCGGTAAGAAAGCACCACCTCCACCGCCTATGCCACGAAGTCGAGCGGCACCACCCCCGGCTCCAAAGTCTCGCTCCAGCCAACCAATCATTCCTTCGGTTTCTATCACAGAGGACAGCTGGGAAGCGCCCGAAGTACCTTCATCATCTTCTCGAGAAGCGCCTGCCTCTAAGCCTGCATCGCATTCTTCATCTCCCATAGCCTCTCAAACTCCCTCAGCGCCCCCACCACCAGCACCACCAGCACCACCAGCACCTCAAGTATCTCAACTACCGCCAGCGTCAGCAAGTACCAATCCTTTTCATCGGTTCAATCCCGCCGCTACTGACAAACCGGTCTCGACGCCTGCTGCATCCACACCCAACACGTCTGGCACTAACCCTTTTTTCAAGCCAGCATCAACTAGTCAAACAATCTCAACATCGACAACCCCCGCGGTGCAAAGTTACCGGCCGCCGCCGAGACCGAAAGACTCTGATGATGAATGGGATGCAACCGAAGAAAAGGGTGATGATGACAGTGACGATGAAGGCGCTACAACTGCCCGAAAAGCGCGCCAGGGTTTAGCTGAAGCCTTGTTTGGCGGTGGACCATCTCGTCCGCAATCAGCCGCTGGTAATATCACTGCCGCACCCCCGAGTGCCATGGCTCCACCGGCTCCGCCCATCGCGCCTGCTGCTCCCCGAGCGCCAGGCCTCGTAGTGCAGCCGAGTGGACCAATCGATCGTGGAATGCTACTAGGCGAGATACAAGGGGGAAAGCGTCTTCGTAAAGCGCAGACCAATGATCGTAGTGCATCTTCACTGGCAGGGAAAGTATTGGGTGGTATCGACCCACCATTACCACAAAATGATGCACGCGCCCCAGAATCCAACAAAGACAATCGACTCTCAGTTGACTGGTTTGGTGGTATGGCGGCGGATGGTATGCATGCAGGTGCTATCCCATCCCCAAGCCATTTGCCGTCTTTGGAATCACACACTGAGGAGCCCAATGCCGAGATGGCTGCGAGTGCAGTTGGTAATGACAACCCATCGGAGGATGTGACTCGTGACTTCAACATGGACAATGGTAGGTCTCTGACTTTTCTTGGGTAGGTGACGATTGAATATTGACAAAATGTCGTGTCCGTCTTTGCCTCAGTTACGCGATTCAGGTCTTTGTATCCTTATGAAGCTCAACGGCCGGATGATCTCGCTTTTTGAAGAAAATTTAGTGATACGTGCTCATCCTCCAAAGACTGATGGTGATTGGTGGTATGGCACGGTTGAGAGGACCGGTCAATCGGGTACCTTTCCGAGAGCATACGTGGACGAGCTCAAAGGTTTGTTGTGCAGTTGAATTAAAGCTGGCTTGTTTGGCGAGCGCTGCTGATATTTGAACACTCTGTCTGTCAAATTTAGTTTCTTGGGGCGAAGCTTTATATAGTTATTCCGCTAGTAGTGCTGATGAAGTATCCTTGGTCGAGAATACGCAAGTCCCGGTGGTGGATGATTTGTCCGACCCAGACTGGCTCAAGATCGAGGATCAGGGTCGGATTGGACTTGCCCCCAGGGCTTACATCGAGATTGGCGGTTAGTTCGGGGTGCAACAAGCGCCATTGTTCATTGCCAAATCCATTTGTTCATTGCTGCGTGTTCCCTCGATTCTTTTCAAAATCGTTTCCTTGTCTCCAATCTCTTTTGGACCTTATTTGAGATAATCCGTTGGCAAATGTTTTTCTGATTGTCGTTACAAACTCTGTGATAATTATTGTTAACTTTATCTCACAACGTATATTGATATATAAATGTCCGTGTTTTTATGTTTTTCCTTTGGATCGACCGCATGCCATGCCAATTCGCACGCGCCAATCCCCATTCGTTGGTAACCGTCATTATATTCATATTCAAACTTTGTCACCGTCTCCACGTGGCTGCAAATTGCAATACGATCAAATGCAGTGTCTACCTCGGCTGCTAGGCAGTTGATTCCAGTGTCTGATCATACTAAAACCTCATTCGAGGCATCCCACACAGTTTGTGCTGTTGATCCTCCCTCCCAAAGCCACGATAATCATCTCGATAGTCCGTCCGGTCCGATACTATCCACCCCCCGACCTAGTCCTGTACGTCTCCTCAACGATCGACAATCTATGACACCATCCAACCTATCATCCATGAAACCTTCAACCTCAACTTCTGATAGTTTGTCAGACGAAGAAAGTGAACCAGAGCAAGACAATGATGAATTGGCTCGGCGTAATGAAATCGAACGATACCGAATCCTGGCAGCCGCCGGTCTGGTCAGAAAGCCAACTCGCCCTCAGCCTTCCCCTCCCGTAAGATCCCGCCGGCGCAGTTCTGGGTGTGGTTCACCACCACAACCAACATCATCTTCTACCCCACCGACCCTTAGGATCGATTCCTCGTCAGCTGATGAAGCTAACGATGGTGGTATTGGTCAACAGCTCGGAAGTGAGCAAAAAATGGAAGATGCTTTGACAAGATACTTGAGATTGTGAGTGGGGTCCTGTATGCTCATGGTGATCACTTCACTCAAATCCTCCAATACTGTTTGTCAAATCTTAGGCAACGTGAACTACCACCTTTACCAGCGCCAGTCCAAGATAGTTTACCAATGTCACGCCAGTTCTTGACCGCCCAAGCTTCTCGGCCCATATCGATGACAATGTCATCAACGAAATCGTATCAAAGTCCACATCATCCGGGCGGAACACTTGGATTTCGAGCTTGGATGTCGGACCTGTCAAAATCTGTTGTAGGTGGCGGTTCAAGCCATTCTGCATCCACGTCAAGGAGAAGGGCTGTCTCTATCAGTAGTCCGATGTCTCCATCGCCAGATCAGCCCCCGTTATCTTCAGACACCACTGCGTCCTTTGGTTCGGTGAGTTTTTACATCCATCAAGTCATCTGTCACGATTATGGTGAATGTCGCCCTGACCCTTCAAATATAGTCTTGGTCTAGTTTGATGGATATCGAGACTCTTTCGACATATCCAGATCGTGAAAGGAACCGTCAGGAGGCGATCTTTGAGTTGATCAAGACTGAAGCCGCATTCGTACAAAATTGTCAATTATTAACTGAAGTCTTCCATCGTCAATTAGCCCCTATATTGGGATTTAGAGCTTCAATGGTTATTTTTGCAAATATCGAAGAAATCATGCTCTTTGGAGTCACATTTCTTAGCGCATTAGAAGAAAGACAGACTGAAGACAAACTGTTGGTAAGGTCGATTGGGGACATAATATCTAATCATGTACAAGGCCTGGACCTTTATCGACCTTATTGTACCAATCAAGCTAATGCCGCGCGGGTTCTAAATGATCTCAAGACTCGGTATCCTGAAATTCGAGACCAACTCAATAGGACTAAAGTCAAGGGACTTGAACTAGAGCATTATCTCCTTGAGCCGATGCAACGACTCACTCGATACCCATTGCTTATCAAGCAGGTGCGTCTTGAATTTTCTAGTGATACGAATTCGAGATCTTGACTGTCTGGTTTGTTATGATCTGATGTTCTGTAGATTATAAAATATACCGATCCGCAGGCGACTGATCACGGTTTACTACGATCGGCCTTGCAGAAAGCTGAAACGGTACTAACAGCCACAAATGAGGCAATCAGAGATCAGGAGAATGAATTATACTTGGCTTCTTTGTCGGAAAATCTCAGTATTCCTGGTTGCGATGCGGTTAGCTTACAAGTTTACTTATAGATTAATTCAGCTTTTCGTACTTATTGCATATTGCTTAATTTCCCGTAGCGGTTGAACTTGACTAATCCCTCACGATTCGTTGGTCGACGTCGTCTGATACGGGATGGACCCGTGTCAAAACCTAGATCACGCAAGATCTTTCACGCCTACTTATGCAATGACTTCTTTTTACTTACTATCCTTCCAGTTGTCACACCAAATCCTATCGAAACGCCACAAGTGATGTATCGAGCTCCTATGCCACTTGAAGAATGTCAACTGGAGGCTGGAAAAGATGACACCAGTTTGATCTTGATACATCGTTCAGAGAGGCTCACTCTTAGATTTCCAGGTGGACCTAAAGTTTGTGCAAGTTGGAAAGACGATTTTTCTTTGGCTAGACGAATCGTTTACCAGGCGCTTACTGCTCGAAGGGATAAACGAGGTTCGTTTTACCTTCCATGTTGATCTTGATCTTTCAGGACTCTCGATCCGAATCCTGGCATTTGCCCACCTTGCCTTTGCGATCCAATGGAGACAATGGCAACACAATACCCTCCCTCTCTACACCATACCCCTTCCCGTTTCGTCCTTTCAATATTTTTACTCCGTAGAAGTACAAGTAGAACTCATTATTTGATTCCTGATTCTGTGACATCTTTTCCCTTTGTGCCGTACCCTTCTTCGCCCTACTACCGACAATGCCCATCATTTCCCTTTTAATTTCACTTACAATTCCCTTCAAAAATGCAACTATGGTTTGTATTGCACCTCTTCATTTTCTGTACACCCACGCATAATTTTCTTCAACATCAAAAGCCTCAATTCCAAATCAGTTATGCCATATGCCAACCAACGACCCTTCACCAAATCAAGAGGTGAAGAATGGTGAAACGCATATCCATCCTAGATATCAACAACGTTATCATAGTGTTTATCAATCAGGGTTACCTTCAGCTTCAAATGGAGGAAGCCCTCGACCGATTGAAGGAGCTGATAAATTAGGAAACAAAATATCAACGGGACCAGTTATAGTTGAGGATCAAATTGTAGAATCATTCAAAAGGTATCAACTTGATGAACAACCTCCTTCTTTACCCATGGTTCCTAAAACTGGTGGTATCAATTTTAATTTCTGAGTGTGGAAGTATCACACCACCATTATCCTTTTTAATAATCATCTCATTTTAGATTTTATAGTTACGCATAGGTTGCATGTATGTTACGTACTGCTCACGTTTTAGTCTTTCTGTTTCTGCATTGTATGTTATGTCAAATTGCTCAGATATAGGCGTTGCTAAATTGTATATAGTTTTGATATTCAGTTAAACACATTCTATTCTCCAATGTTACTCAGACTTTTTGAGCTAGAGGGCAATGCTGGATTGTAAGATAAAGCTAGTTTGGAAATCACTTGTGAGTCATGGAAATCACTTGTGAGTGATATGAGAACCCAATCAACTGGGAAAATTCAGCGGGAAATTAATTGAGAGTTATTTATGATACATAAGTAATGTGATTTTTTTAGCAACTTTAGAGTAAGTCGACGCTTTTCAGCGAAATCAGGACATGCCAGATTATCGCTTAGAATCGCTTGGGTGATATTTGGTATTTACACTTGATTTAGCTCGGGATTGGGAGGCATAAGGTGGAAGCCTGTGTTGAAACTCTGGAGTGCGGATCGGCTTTCCTGGACGGTCTTGTGAGCAATAGATACATCAGTTTGTCTTGACTATAACTTACGTGAATGAACCGTCAAGATTATAAAGAAACAAGCAGAAGCAAAGTCTTGTACTACTTTTTGCGGAGGAGAAATACCAAGGCTTTGAAGATTATTGTGGGGTTAACGAGGTCGGTATATTAAGGAGTTTGTATTCAGGAGTTGGCTTTGCCACGTGATTGTGATGCGATCCGTGACAGTTGTACTTGACGTGGTACTAAGGAGAGTCTATCAAACCCAGATAAAAGGGAAATTGCAGAAGTGGGCTCGCGTGGACTTGTAGGTCTAGAATGTTTAGGTATAGGTGTTGAATCAGGTATCACGGGAGACTCGATGACCATGGGAGTGGGGACTTCTTCCTTGGCTGTTGGTAATGTTGAATTGGCGAGGCCTTTGGGAGGAGAGGAGTGCGAGGGGGATTCAGATTGAGGTGACCATTCTGGTCTTAAAAGTGAGACGGCGTCTCCATGCTTATGATAGAGCGAAGTGAGACCATGGTTGGGAAGAGAGAAATTGAAGCTAAAGACATAGATGGCATGATTCAGTTTATATAGAACTTTCAGCAAGGGCCTTCGATGAGGCTACATACGTTGGTGGGTAGTGATGAGCATCTATCAAATGAAGCCTTCGTGTCTTGGGAGTGTGAAATAGACGATTACAAGAATATTCAAAGCAGGCGAACTGCGTTGAGGCAAAATAAAACAAAAGTTAAATGTTCGGTTCAAAAAATGAGATAATCGTAAAAGAACTTACAGTTCTCTGACCCTGTTCTCTGGCTAATTGAAGTAAAGGATCATGACATTCACGAAAATGCAGATTAAGGAAGCGTTCATCTGGAAAAATCAATTGAGGTTGATGATGATGAGCACAGATATGAGTATGATGAGTTCTATGATGAGATTCAAGTTGGTCTGCGGTTGTGAAATATTGGTGTGGGTGGTTGGGAGGTTGATGGCACGTTGGTGGAAGGGTACATGAAAATTTACTGTGAGATCGAGAGATGTAAAATAGTTTCGATCAGTATTATTATGAAGACAATAGATTGAATGAGATGACTGACACTGAGGGATTAGCTGGAGATAGATTGGTAGGTTGGACTCGAATCAATTTAGTTGGTTCTTCTTCTCCACCTTCACTCCAAGAGTCCTCACTCAATCTTCGCTTCCTTGATGGTATTCCAGTAGTAGGTTGGTTGGTTATTGTTGATATTCCGTTGATAGTTGCCATCTTGGGTTTTAAATGTTCTTTCAAATTCTTCTGTCAACTTTTCTCAATTCACTTTTCTGAATGTACCGCGATCTAAGCTCGACACCGAGCCTCATCAGATCCGCGTCTGCCGGATTCGCAGGACCGAGCCTCACGGTATCTTCCTCGGGCTCTTCATTGGAAAATCCATGGCTGCACACTGCACAGACCGGTAATCTTGAAGTTACGGTGACCAAGAAACGCCAGAACCATAGTATGGTGTCTCCAAGGTGTCACTTGAGTCACAACCCCTCCTAGAGCATGTACACATCCCTGCGCCAAGGAATTGTAATCATTGGCTTTGGGACAAACCTTGGCCCTGCCGCTGCAGAACTTGAATGATTACATAAATCACTTGGAGGTACAGGTAGAGGACTCTGTACATACTACCTTGAATGTTAATCTAATCATCCTATATTTGGTTGATTATGTGAAGAGCCTTATACACTCTATCTCCCTCTGCAAGCTCACTCTACCACTACACAACCCTACCCTATTAAGTAGACATCATCTTATGTGTGGTGTGGGGGTGGTATCTGGGTCAAAGTGTCAGGGCCAGGTAGAGTAACCACACTGGGATGAGTTACCTGTGAGAATGAGAGCAGGGCTGAGAAGGGTTTACTCCTCAACCCTGGGTGGTGGGTGGGTTTTATAAAACTAAAAATGCTCTCTGAGAAGAGCAAAAAGAGAAAAGCTACTTGATGGAAAGCTAGCAAGCTACTCCTAGGAATGTGAGTGGGAGCTGGATAGAATCAAAACTTTTTCAGTTCTTCCAAATTCAGAAATTGTCTACATAGAATTTGCCATGCCAAGAACTGCCACCTTTCACATGGTCCCTTGTGACTCAGGTTGTGAGTGCGCTAATATTTTTGGAGGCGCGCCGAGGTATTTTTTTTCAATGTTTTCTCAGCGTGTTTTTTCCAAAAAGAATTTTTTGGAGCCAAGATGTAGTTTTTTATTGATATTTTTTTAAATTTTCAATTTGCTGGAGCCATCTACCACAACAGTTTTGCATTGTAAAGGTGAGCAACAGTTGTCTTTGGAGTTACCAGTTAGTATACAAGTCCTACTGCTGATGTCAACAACTCCAATATTGGTAGCAGGATGTAGGAATCCTTAGATTTGGTGTAAATTTTGAAAAGGCATGCCAACCCCTGATTTTCCAAATTCTCTGACGCCTAGGTGCACCCACAACCTGACTTGTGACACCTAGGAGTTCTGTCTGTAGCTTTTCCCGTGCTCTAAAGAAATTGACTTCTGTGTACCTCTGCAGGCTCTGGGAACACAGCCAAAAAATGCAAAAATCACAACCAAAACATCCTCCAAAATCCCTGCCAAGCCTATCCCAAGCAGGCCAAGCCTCAGTCTGCTGCCCAGGACAAAAAATAATCCCCTCAAATTGACTTGATTTTGTTGATCCATTCATACTTCTTTCCCCTTTGGTGACAGTGTCCTATGCTTCGTTATTCCTCCTTGTCCAGATCACCATCCATATACCAATGGTCTGGTGTATTGAACCAAATTGTAGAACTGTGTAATGTATTTGTTCTGCCCATGACTCACAAAAAATGCCTTCCTTCAGATGACAATGATTTTGTTATGAGCCACAGACTATAAGGCTTTCACCTATATATATCATGTTGTACTCTAGTTATCCTCTCACTCAAGTAGAACCTCTGTTCCTCACATAGCAATCTAATACCTCATCTGAAGGGTCCTTTCACACCTAGTCTCTTGCATCTTACCACACTTGCTCATATCAGATTTTTGAATGCATCATCAAGAGTATTATCATAAGATTAATGGTTTATTAAATATATAATCAGGTCCTTAATTAAAGTTTCATCTTGTATTTAAGATCCTTGATTTATTGGATATGATGATTGGGTTTTCAAACAATTGGCACAACTCAGCTTCTCTGCAGCAACACACAACAGAAAGATTGTTGTATGCTGGAATCCAAATAGAAACTTAATTTGAACAACTCAAAGCAACACTTTGTACCCCATATGAAGCAACAATCAAGTGGAAGTGGTGATTTAGTTGGCTGCATCAGAACACACACTGACCACACATGGGAAGTGACAATGGACAAGGTATCATCCAGTGCTGCGGACCCAGGCTTGGGATACACTCAACGGGGCTTTTGGAAGAGGTTTCAGATGTAATTTTCACATTTGGTGGTTTTGACTTAAGTGGCACCTTAAAGCCACCGTTCAAATGTGCCATAACCTCAAAATGCAAAAGTCACATCTGAAACTCTCCTGAGAGCTCCATTAAACATATCCCAAGCCTCTATCTGTTGCAGCAGGCAATTCCTTCACTTTTTATGCTCAGTAACACATGTTGCTGCTTCTCAACTCAATGGCAGCCAACTTGATCAAAAACTCAACTTACTGATTTTTTAGATAAATCGAACCTGCACAAATGCATGAGTTGGGCCCGGGGGCTAGTCTCAATCAAAGCTGCACTGCAAAAGCAAAATTTGATTACACAACATGACTTGCTTCACCCCTACTGATGAATGACATGCAATAAGTCATTTTTGGGGGATTAAGAGGTTCCTTAAGCTGATGATGACTTGCTGAGCCAATTGGGTGGGTGGTTTTTTTGACACCTCATATTTTGGACCTGGGGTACCTGAGCGCCTAAGCACACTTAGTTAAGTACTTAATGAAGTACCTATGGGCTTAAGGTGACTGAATTAGGCCCCTGCATAAGTATGGTACACCACAAGGACAGTTGGATGTCCAACGGGTGTCCGATTTCTCTTGGTGGGGGACGGACGTCCCCCCACAGCACAGCGAGAAATGTCCGTCGGACTCCGACGTTCAGACGCCTGAGCAGAGCCCATCGGGCTCTGCGTAGCGCGCGAATCGACATCCGTCTGACATCCCTCGAGGTTTGTCGTGAGGGCACGCACAGCCCTGGTACACAGAAGATCCTGTTCCGCTGCCCGTTGGACGTCCTGGCTGCTGAGCACTGGATGAAAATCCGATTTATTTCGGACGGCAAAGGCATGTATAAGCTACCCCTATGGGTTGTTTTCGATGATGTGTTTTGATGGCCAATAATAGGTCAAATAAATTTCTTATAAAAATTTGCTATAATGAAAGCAAATCCAACGACGCGACATAGATAAAATGATACGAAAAATGAAATTATACTCAAAATAAGATGATGCGAATAATAGCACCTGATAAAAGCAATAAAGAAATTCAACTAATAAAACGATACAGTGATAAAAATGAAGAAGCACAAGAGGAACAGTAGAGAAAATATATACAATAAAATGACAAATATGAGGAAGAAAATAGGTGCGCTATGAGATGCGCATCAGCCATTCAACCAGCAGCAGGCAGAGTACGAATGGCCATGTGTACATCCTCTTTGGTAGGAATCTGGAATTTTTCGTTTGACTTGATTTCATCCCATTTGTTCTTACCATCGAAAAGACCTTGATCTCGAGCAAGGATGATTGCATTGAATCTGAACTTACAAAGAGTCAGAGTCAGGTAATTTTTACACGTATGGAAATCAATCAGACGTACGCTCGGAGATAATCCCGACTTTTGTCGCAAAGTTGAGCCAGCTTCGAATCGATCAAGCGCCAGTAACTCAAACCGCCATTTTCCTTACGTTTTTCGTCACTTGTATTATGATAAATAGCAATCTCCATTCTCTACAGAAAGGTGGAGTGGAGATGAGAATAGATAATAAACACTAGGGAATATGAAAGCCTCGGCTGCTCACAAGGTAAGCAAACCGAGCTTGGGTCTTTGCATCCACTGCTCTTTTGAGCTCGGTCTCCGTACGAGATTCATTTGGATCGAAGAAATGATACATCTAAAGACGTAGTCAACTGGTCTATTTCATCCTGTAACACAAAGACTAAATTTAACATCGTTCAGCTTACTTGAACCAGTAGGGATCCCAAGTTTTGCACTTCGGTCTGAGGCTCGTTTAGTTTTATCTTGCTCTTTGGGACAAATATGTCTTTCAAAATCTAGAGTGTAAGATGGAAGTGTAAGATGGAGTGTCAGTAAGTTTACTAATACCAAAGCTTTGATCGATTGACTCACGATCAATTGAAAATCGTCTCGAGCATGTCTGAGCTTGGCTCTAAAAACATCAATGAACTTTTCATGGTCAGATAGATCATCCAACGTCGTACCAAAGTCGGTAGGTAAGTAATCTATCTTCCATGAATCACTCTTTTCAATGATACCTTGCTAAAGACATTGAGGTCAGTGTATTGAACTAGTACGACTTTGGTGAGTGATTGGTACACACCAGAGCCTTCCGGTGGAAGGACCCCTGGATAGGTGCTTTGTTCGAGTCCACAGTGTCAGTGTATGATTCAATTGTAGAATCTCTTAGAGTGCGGCGGATGATCTTCTTAATTTGTTCCTAGATTCATCAAGCGTAAGTGTAGAAGCTCCCCATATCATTAAAAGGAAGCAATACATACAGCAAAAGTGGACTTCGGTGTCCAGTCATGATAACGCCGGGATGACTGGTTGGCCAGTTCTTGACGTGCCAGCTGCTGAATGCACACAAGTGCATAATAACGGTTATCATCCCCGGTAATCTGACAAATGATTATCAGCGTGTAGTCAGACTGATCAGAAAAAAAGGATAGCTTACCGAACTCACTCAAAGGGCCTGTGCTCGATACTTAGGATCGAGTTCGAATATATCTGCCACTTGTTCCCACTTCGCTCGATTTTCTGGAGCCATTGGGAGGTTGACCGAAGAGACGGAGGGATCTGCAGTCTGAAAATCATCCTGATTTGGGGTGGCTGAACTCCCTAGATTATCATCTGATGAACGGTGTCTTTGATCATTTGTAATACTTGGTTCATAGTCATCATCATCATTGTCTCCCTTCCTAGAATCATCGCCATCGTCTCCCTTGATGGATTCATCGTCTTTGTCTCCCTTTCTAGATTCTTCATCTTCATCGTCTTGCTTTCTAGATTCGTCATCTTCTTCATCTTTTTGATTGCTTTCTTTTTTTTTGTGTGAGGATTGACTTGAACTAGATTGAAGATACCTGAGCGATGCTGGTAGCGAGTCTAACAATGATTGAGTATCATGAGCTGCTCCAAGAAGAATAGGTTAGTAGGAACTTTGCTCAAAAGGTCAAGAGGGGGTTGTACGTACCAGGCAAACGCTCTCGAGGCTTGTTTTTTTTGGAACGATCACTGCGGTTGTAGGGTTTAGGCATGTCAAGTATGGAAGTTGTCGAAGAAAAAAAAAGAGAAAGATAGATAAAAATTGGAAAACGTGAAGGAGATGGTGGTGGTGGAAAAGTTTCAATTGAAGGAAGGAGACAAAGACCTTTGAAGACCTTTGGGTCCGAAACTCTTTTGGGTCCGAAATTGACAATTTCATTATCCCATGGTCAAATGCATTGAACGATGACATGATTCTCTTGATTGTGACATCAGGCCACACTCTGGAGTGTTCTGGCCTCACAGAATCTCTGGAGCGAGTCAAGATGATCATGAGAATTGAAAGCCCTTCACTACTCTGGAAGAAACGAAAGGAAATCTTGAGAGATTCTTGAGATATACGATAAATCAATATAACCTTTCGAAATATTATATTTAAGAAAAAGAACAAATAGCATCACTTTTGACTCTTTACATGAGTCAAAAGCGTGATGGACCATCAAAGGTGTACGAAATAAGTACAAAGGAATCATTCACAATTTGAATTCAAGTATATTTGCAATGGGGTGGTATTCTAGAATTCCTTGAATACCACCCCAACATTGAAGGGTGGTAAAGCTTCAGGAAATTCAAGTCAAGGAGGATGAAGACTTGAAGGTACCTTTTTGCAATTACATCAGCCTTGAAGAACCTTCAAGATACTGAAGAAAAATTGGAATATCCCCAAATGTTGAGAAAAGGCAATTCTGAATTTTCAAATTCTTCAAATCAGAATTTTCACCTAAAATTACATTTAAAAGTCTTAGACAAAGTACAACAGAAAGACCTTATGAAAGAAGTCTCATTTATAAAAAGCTGGGTCAATGTGTTCATGTTGATCTATATCTTGATGTTTCCTCTTCATTGTGTTCTGTTTCTCTTTCTTCTTAATATTTTTACTCATCTGGTCATGTTTTGATTGTTCTTTTTTTGCTTGAGTGGATTTCCAGTTTTCCATACCAATTTCAATACATTCCTCCCATTCATCAAAGTTCCATGGTTTATAATTGATGTTTGCTATACTTCGATGTGATTCTGCTGAATAGAGAGCACCGGAGTTGATGAGGTAGCCATTGAAGGTTTCATGTTGCAATTGATATGGAGATTTAACTGGAAGTTGTCCATCATTTTTTCGTGGACTCTTCTGGGTTCGACACTTTGCCTGATTGCAATTATGTTGAACATTCAAAACACATTTTATGTCCTAATGTAATTTGTTTTCAGCATGTGTTGATTGCTGACAAGTTTTAATCAACGGTATTTACCTTGAGTGTTATCCACAAGTCTTCTTGAGAGATACTCAGACCACGAAATCCATAAAATTCGTTGATGTTGTCGTCAACTTTACATACCTTGATGTGGACTAAGTGCTCGATGCTTGTTGCTCGTTTACCCTCCCAGAAACTTGTAACTCGGCCCACACGTGGTGAGTCACTTGACTTGAGATCTATAAGAACAAAGTTTTGCAAGCGAACGGACTGTTTTGATGATAGAACGGCTTCTTTTTTTGGAGTCCAATGATGGTTTGGAAATGCCTTCTTCAGGTCGCTTGGAGTTGATTCAGAATTTTTCGTTTCGGATTTTCCTACCCATATGAGGCTAGTCATCAGTCATATAGTTCCTTATTTCACAAACAAATGTACATACCCTTCATTGAATAAGTTCCTTCTGATTTCCAATTGTGATTATAAGAAAAACACTTCTGGACCCACATGTTTTTTGTGAACAATTCGACTAACTTCTTCCCTGCGCGCGCTCGACAGTGATTTTTATGATCCCATAAATAGCCTCCCGAAAATATATGTCGTAGCAAGCGAGCAAAAATGAAGATTCGAGCAATATGCAGGCCTGGATTGTGCCGATTGGTGTGAATCGAGGCAATTCGCAGTATTCCATTAAAACTTTCGAATTTCTGGGTTGCAACCAAGGACAGTGGGCCGAAACGTTCAACTGATTGGACCAGATGAACTAGCATATGAAACTTGGGTTTGTTTGTCCACTGCGCTGTCCATCGGATAAGGTGGCCAAGAAATATATTGACGAGTTTCTTCATATTGGTCAAGTACGTGCGTATGTTAGTGATTTCGGCCTGGAATATATAAGACCCTAGGTGGACTAACGCAGTCCACATCCTGCGTCTTTCATATGAGAAATGAGGATATAGGACAAAAGGTACTGATTGTAAGATTGTATGAAAGTCTTTACCAACTAAACTCTGATAATAAGTAGTCAGTGTTCTTGGTTGGATTGGTGGAATGTTCAAGCCCGACGTATCAAAAGATTTCCATCGCGCCAAAACAGATGGTAGTGCTGAATCCGGAAGATTGTCCATCGCGTCTTTGAATAGATATTTGACCACTCCAAGTAAGGCCACATGCAGAGATTCTACTGGTGTATCTAGATGACCATCAAAACCTAAAACCAGAGAGTCAGTGATACCGTCAAAGGTGTAAATGATCATAATCCTTACCGTCTAACTTTAAAAAAGGATTGAACAGTCGATCTCCAAATTGTTCGTTGAGATCTGTAAACATTTTATGCACCTCCTCTTTTGAATAATCATGATCTTTATGAAGGTCGTGAAACTGTCCAACAAAGTGATGATTTGTTGTGTCTTTAACACCGCATTCTTTTGATTTTCTAAGAAATTCAGCATGCTTCTTCGGATTTTGAAGCAATCCCCAAAGCTCGTAAGTTTGTGACTTTGTAGTTGCCCATTCACGAGGCTTAGGACCTCCCTGTATCAACATGTTGAGATTGGATTAATGTTACTGATACATTGGTTTTCCGCAAAACATTATGATTGAAATTACATACGTCTTCTTGATGAACACCTACAAAAGCTCTAGTATATTTAGCATCTTGTTTTGCACTCAGTGTTTCAACACTGAGCGTACATATTCGACAGGGGTTCAAAGTAACCGAGGGATTTGTTGTGTTGGTGATTTCGGCATGCATAGGAGAGTCTCCCAGATGACATAAAGGAACAACCATTACAAGAACATCTTCTTTCAGCAATTCGTCGTAAGTCGTGAATCCGTCCTTTCCAAGCGCACTAAGCAAATGTAACAGATGTCAGTTATTGAGCATGTCAGATGATAAAGAGTAAGAAATACTTTAATTCAGTCACCACGTTCTCACCAAGCTCAAGAGCGCTTGCTTTGTTTGAAGTTGAAAGAAAGTGAATATTATATTCTTGATTTGTCATTCCCGGAGGTAAACCAGATAGAGTAAAATAGTAACTCATGTGTTTGTTCCATTTTTTTGACACATTTCCCGAAGTATCGTCTGAATAAAGTGTTATAGGTACGTGTCAAATCACTTTTCCATTTGCTTTAACACGCCACGGATTAGGGAGAGGTATCTCGCGGTAACCATCTCCATCATATTCTGTTGGAATATGTACAGCTGATCAATATGATGTCACAGTGGAAGAGCAAAATAAAACGACCCACGATACATCACTCCACCATATCTTCCCTGCAGAGGAATCCCTTCACTATCCTTTGACTCTATGAAGGTGGCCATAATTGTGTTCATATCGACCGTAAGCAAGAAAGGCGAATTGAAGTCTTGATCTACGTTTACAATAATCTTTATATCAGATGAATCAACTCCCTGAGAGACAATTGAGGCCTTCAGACATTTGGCATATAATTTCCCAGATTGCTGGAAGAAAAAGATTGGAACAATCCAGTCTCCTGAAGCTTGACGGACCGGCTCGTAGAGAAAGAAGTGTCCTTTTGTTGACGACACCATCTGGACTCGCTGATGGGGTGAAAAGCCTTCCCTCCACTTTTTTGACTGAGACAATCGGTTTATTGGCTTATTTGGATCGTATTCCGGAAAAAAAACTAAGTGCTCAGTTACAACAGGATTCGCAAGCTCCTGTTTAAAAAGAAAATGTTAACATGTTGATGAATGACCGTTCCAATAAGAGTCAAAGCTCACCTGAGCCACAATCTCTCTGATACTCAGTCCGTAGCACGGATTTTGGAGGGGACTCTCCCACTCTTGTACATTCAATCCAAACCGCGCACACATCCTTGATTTCAATCGTCCAAGAGTCTTGTACACCGGTAGAGAGATGTTGAATAGACAAAACAACATTCGGATATGCTCATACTCTCTCTCTGATTCCAGGTGGCGTCCAGATCCTGCAGCTAACAGTCCCACCATCTGCTAAAGGATGGAATCACATATTAGCCATGAAGAGATTACAGATTATTCAAAACACACACCTCCTTTGTGAAAGGATACCAGTCTGTATCAATTCGAGGTAATTTTTGTTATATCATCTTCGATTTCGTGATTGTCTATGTCTGAACCACTTGATTGACCTGAATCAGAGTTACTTGAGCTATGATCTACATCTTCTTTGAGTTTGTTCAACAGAATAGCATCCCAATCAACATCGGCAAGCTCGGTATGCTGAACACGCTCAGAGCGATCTGAACATTCGGATTCAGAGTCACTGTAATTTCCAGTGAGAAGCTGCATCAGAGCCTCTGTATAACCATGAGCTTGTGGTGATGTCGTTTCGCTTTCGATCCTCTCATCCTTGAGTCCTGCTTCCGGTACATCATCTGTTTCAAAGATGTCTGGAGTGTCATTCTGAAGAAAAGATGCAAGATGTTCTTCATTCTCATGATCGATAGATTCTCGAGCAGCGACTAAAGACTTGTGATTGGGTAAATTTTTGTGATTTTCTATTTCATTCATTGATTTACCATGACACAACAAACAGCGATATTTATAAGTTTTACCAGACATGAATCTTTCAAAATCTACAAAACAAACAACTTTAGAAATGAAAGAATGATGTAATGACAGGTACAATGATAAGCTGACAGTTATCTACAATGGTCAAGCCCTGCGCTTCCATGTTTTGAGCGAATGACATCTTTGTTGAGATTTTTAGGAAAGTTGAAGAATAAAGTGAGACTGGTTAAAAATCGATTCTGATATTAAGGAAATCGAGAGAGATTGGTAATTGATTGTGTGGTTGAGGAAATCGAGGATCACAACCGAGAGTCGATTGCGACATTGAGGAAATCGAGGATCACAACCGAGAGTCGATTGCGATATTGAGGAAATCGAGAGTCATTCAATCTCAATGTCAGTTTCAAGAAAAGAACATATTAGAGACAGAGATATAAAGAAAGGACATACCGTAGGTTGATCAGGTTGTTGTGAAGGTAAAGATAATCAGGTGGTGGGAAGCGAAAAGAACCCCTGGGATGTCAGAGCGATAGCTCTCCAGCATCTACCCGGTCCATCGTGGTGGTGCTCATTGGATACCCGGGTTTGTTACCCACATGTGGACGACTGATCATGGGTGGCGAGGCGTTGTCCGCAGTGTGCTGGAAGGATGCCCACTCGATTGGGCATCCGTAGGTCTTCCAAGCACACTGTGCTTGCACGTCATCCTGTCTAGGACGCCATCTGTGCATCTTCAGGATGCCGTGTGGATAAATACGCGCTCAGACGTCGAGCCAGCGCCCCGTTAGTGGACGTCGGGCCGTGTCCCCAATCTCGGACACGCCCGACGCCCTGACGCAAAAAACTGTCCTTGTGGTGTAGCACTCAACCAGACTCAACCATTGCATTCATTTTACTGGATTGATATTGATATTCGAACAAATGATCAGTTTCCCATAATATTCAATCAAACAAATGATCAGTAAAAGTGAGAGTTCCATCTTTGATCTAAACAAAGGAACAATAAAAGAGATTGATCAAAACAGAGCCATTAAAAAGAAAAATCAATCAAAGGAGTCAGATTGATTAAAAAAAGGGATAATTAAAAGAGGGGACAATTAAAAAAGGGGACAATCAAAAAAGGAACAATTAGAAAAAGAGGTTAATTGTAAAACCAAATCAGCTAGTGATCCTTTGATGAGATCAATACACATTATCTGAGTGATTAGTAGTAGTGATATCCAATGATCTTTTCAATCAGTTGGAAAAACATGTCAGAAATCATTCCCCATGACTTGTAAAAAATGATACTTACACATACTTAGGTTTTTGTGTTCCATTTGATGATGGTGGGGGGTCAGAAAGATTAATATTTTGGCCCTGGGTGTGATGGTTGCAGTTCTCCAGGATGTTCAAAATGCTGTGGGTTCCATGGTGAGATTAAGTTATTGTGTTGTGGTAATGTACATCTGATTATTTGACTCCTTCATTGAGTCTACTCCAGGCATGGTTGGTGTTATCAATCTCAAGTGGTCTTGGTCAAGTGCAAGTAAATTGATTCAAAAAATATTGATTGAAATGGAACTTACAATGGTCGATAAACACCAAATAAAGTTCTATTGGATTAAGTTCACAATGAATTTTTGGGATAAATACACAAATATGACCAGCTTCTTCCATTATTTTTTGAAGCAAGGGCTTCTCATTAGCAAATTTGCACTGGAGGCAATGCAGCGGCAAGTCTTTGAAGTAATCACTTTGTCAACACTGGTCAGCAGGAAGCTGGTCACACTCAATAACTGTGCATGTTTCTGGTTGATGTAAAAGCAGCAAGAGCATCTTTTCATATTTCTTTCTTCATCTTGTTGAATGAGCCTCAAGTTCTGTTGAATGATGTCTCTGGCATTCACGTTGCAAATCAAGGAAAGGTGTTATTGTGGATACAAGACAATGGAACAAACTTGAAGATGAAGCTAGTCTAGTGCCAAAACATTGTGAACCCAGGCTTCAAAGTGTGGGTCAACTTTGTGTAACACACTTTTAAGACCCCAACAACTGTGAGGCCCCTGGAAAGCCCCTACTGAGCTGTCTGACAAAAGTTAAGACTTTTTCCCACTTTTTTCTGGTCAAATATTGAATTTTAGCCAAATTAGGACTTTTTTTGTCAGAAGCCCCCCCAGTCTCGACTGTGATGTGCTGATTTTCTTTGGAAAAAAGTCCAAAACAAGAATTTGTTCGTCACATACCTAAGGAGTCATGAGGACCGGTTGAAACCCCTGAATGCTGGTCAAAAGCTCTGATTATTGAACAAAAGTCCCAGGGAAACTGGTAAAATCCCAAGCCAGCACAAGGCACATGCATCTGATTTGATCTCAAGCCAAAAAGGATGATGATATCTAATTTTTGTTGGTTAAGGAGACGAGACAAAGTACATTGTTAAAAAACTCCCAAGACATAATGTACTAATCCTCTTCTGTATCAGCTGGTTCAGTGGCCAGCTGAAATCATCTCTCATCCTCATATTGCTTGACCAAATGAACCATTTTTATGGATAGAACTGCGAACCACTAAAGAGACTGAATAACTCCCCTCATTTTCAGGAACTGATACAAATTTTGTGCTCTTTGATAGTTTAAACACATAGATGATGTCAACTGCATGAAAATCAGGATATGCTTTGTGTTTTGGTGTTCGAGTCTGTCCTATTAGGACTTTGTTTGTCAAGAGCATCCTCCAGCCCGGGTCCTTTCAGGATCTTTTTGGTCACATGCATTCTGATCCAAAAGCCAATATATGGCCTGTTTCATCAGATAGATTTTGGGATGAGAAGGCCAAAACAGGGATTTCATTCGTCAGATGACTCAGCAGGAGCATTCAATTCACAAGGTCCTCGGCTGTGGGATTTGGCATTACTTCAGTTGACCCCGGCTAATGATTTTTGACTTCAGCACAGAACCCCAAATTTAACCAAAACAATTGCAGATGCTCAGAGATGCTCTCAAGTGACACAGGATAATTCAGTAATTCCTTGTGTATGTACTCGTGAGAGTTTCTTCACTGTTCACTTCAGTTCCTTCATTTTCAAATCAAGCGTTTAATTATGTAAGGCCAGTATATAAAAACTATCCTGGAAGCATTGACGGAACAGGAAAGAGTTCGGTGATGTGGTTGTCCTCTGGTATTTGTTTCAGTATCATATTCTTCGTAGCTTGAATCCTCTTGATTAAAAGTGGCCGTTCATGATTATATCAATTTTTTCCATTGTGGTTTTCCTGCTGTCCATTGACATCAAGGCTTACTCCCAGCCTGGCGCATGTGATGGCAGTTGCTTCTCCCATGACCCTTCCTTGATTCAACACACTGATGGCACTTGGTTCCGTTTCAATACCGGTAATGGGATCGGTATATGGAAGGCACCCGCTCTTCATGGGCCATGGACATACGTTGGTGATGCCTTGAAGGGTGGATCGGTGACACAGATAGCAGGACGCGGTGACCTCTGGGTCAGCGGATTTTCATTCCTCATTTTGATCTTTTGCTGACATTCACAAGGCCATAGGCACCGGATGTAACTCGTGTTGGTACAATGTACTACATGTACTACGCAGTTTCCCAATTCGGCAAAAAAAACTCGGCGATCGGCTTCGCCACAAGCTCAACGATGGAGGCAGGGTCATGGACAGATCATGGGGGCATAGGTGTAGAATCTTCCGACAGCTCCCGCTACAACGCAATTGATCCCAGCCTCCTAGTATCTGGAAATGACTACTAGTAAATAGTCCATTTATACCTCTCCGCATTGTCGTTTTTTCCACTCACCCAATCACCTGTCCCAATTGTAGCCTGGTCTTTGGATCCTGGAACCAGGGTATCTACCAAGTAGCCATGGAATCTCCTCCAAACAGAAAAACCGGGTCTAGCTCTTCGAACCATCTGGCGTACGTCTCTCGCGCGCCTCATACCGGGGAAGGACCAACAATGTTCCATCACGATGGATGGTATTACCTTCTATATTCCTCCGGCATATGTTGCGGGTACCAGAACAAGAAGCCGGCTCCTGGTGACGAGTACAAAATCGTTATGTGCCGTAGTAATTCGCCTACATCCGGGTTTCATGACAAGGCTGGTGTTGACTGTTTGGTAGGCGGAGGAACAACGCTACTAGAGAGTCATGATAATGTTTACGGTCCCGGTGGACAGTGCGTGACTTATTCTTTCCATTTTGTCCTCTTCAGTACAATCTGATCCATATTGATGTTCTTTCGTAGAGGCGTGATTGACACCCCCGATGGCCTCCTTCTGTACTACCACTACACCAACCCTCAACGTGGCATTGCGGACGCCGATAATCTTTTTGGTTACAATTATTTATCTTTTTCAGATGGATGGCCCGCTGTCTGATTCGGGTCGGCAATTTGAGAGGTTTTGGTGATGTTTACTGCGTCGGGTTTTTGAAATGTCAATGTCTTTTTTTCATTGCAAGTGTCCACAACAGTCGTCGATAGTTGCATTCACTAAAAATTCTATATTACAATGAGTTAGAGAATTTTCGGCGAGATTTTGAAAAAAATTATTCACAAATGATTGCCTCGGGGTTCAAAGATGCGATACATAAATTCAGATTTAATGAGATCAGGTGAACCTTGAGAGATGAAGAAGTTGATGTTGGGATGTGGTTCAGTGGTGTAAGACCAGTGCGCTCAAATGAAGTTGGAAGTTAAGGGGAATATTCACGCCATCATCAGCCCGAGATTGAGATGGTGCTTTATCAGTGTGCATTTCCAAGTGTCGAAGGCAAAATTCATGATGAGGAGCGGGTAGGAGAGGGCAAGGGGTCAAGGAAACTTTCTGCTGGCAGTGGACAGGCATGTAGGCGTGAAAGTTTTGAACGGATCTTCTGAACTATGTGCAATTAATGGGATGAGGAAAAACTGTCTCATGAAATATTTCAAGTCCTGGACAATCTCTTCCTCTACACCAACGGATGAATTCCAAAGCATAGTTGAATTGATACTTAAGGGCCAAAGCCAAAAAGGGCTCATCAAAGCAATCGTTGCGTACAGAAAGACGCGCACGCAAAATATATCAGGAACCATCTTGACATCGGCTAGTACGCTTCCACAGTGTAAAGTGGGAAAAGTGGTAAGACATAAGAGACGTCGTTCAAGTGTCATATTGTACATAAAAGGCATTATCTAGAACTATACAAAAGACAGAGGCTCTACAAGTCAAGGCCAAATAAAAATCCACTAAACGGTATTCTTCAGTCAACACGGTGTTGATGTCATTCAAGGCTCACGTGAACCTCGTTCTGCCTTTTGATACTTCAAGATCCAGGGGTGATTAGCTACCTGTGGTAAGGGTAACCGATCTTGAGGTTCATGTTGTAAGAGCTATGTAATAACACACACTTAGCTTGGGAAAGACTGTAGTCATTAAATAAGAGGTGATCACGCACCTTACGAATCAAATCGCCTGCTTCTGCCGAAACGAAACTCGGCACCTTGAATTGTACTTGTGAAATCTTTTTGTACGTAGCTGTTTGTAAAGAAGAGATATGCAAGTCAGACCGAAGAAATTCAAGGCACAAGTCCAAGGGGTCTGCACGGAACATTGTATCAAGAGAATAATGATATGTGAAGAGTTGCATACCATTGTGTCCACTAAGATCTTCAAATGGCGGATTACCTACGATGAATTCGTATGTCAAAACTCCGAGGGCCCAAAGGTCGACCTTCTCATTGTGGTCTTTGCCTTCAACCATCTCTGGTGGCAGATAGTCCAATGTCCTACATAGAATAGTCGGATAGTTGATTTCATAAGCCAAGATATCTCTAGGTCGAGGCATCGTCAACGAATCCCAAGTACCCACCCGCATAAAGTTTTGCGACGATTCCCAGGCGCATGAACACTCCAACCAAAATCAGCTATCTTCAGTTCACCTTCAACACCCAACAAAAGATTCTCAGGCTTAATATCCCTGTGAATCACGTGCTTCCCGTGCAAATAATGTAGAGCATCGGCCATTTGGGCAATGTAACGTGCTGAACGCTTTTCACTAAATCTTCCATGACGATGAAGTTGTTTGTAAAGTTCTCCTTTGCCTGCAAACTCAAGCATGAGAAAGATACGCTTTTCGTCATGAAAATAACCATATAATCTCAAGACATTCGGATGACTAGTGATAGCGGAAATCGGTCAGCCACATGTGTTCCAAATGATGTTCATAGCACGAAATCATCCTGACCGAAGATTGCTTTGAATTTCAATTTCTCGACGCAGTTGTTTTTCAACTTTGCATTCGACCAACTCTTTCTTGTAAAGACATTTGAGTGCCAATATGAAGTGAGGAGGGGATTTGGTTCGAACCATGTAAACTCTCCCAAATTTGCCTTTGCCTAAAGCGCGACCAATCTCAAATGAATTCATACTCCATTGAGGCGTTGGTCGTTTGTGTCTGAGAGAGATGGCGTGGTTTAAGTCAATCTATTAAGCTCAGAAGTCGGTAGAGCGAAGGGGGTAGCTTACAGAGGTGAAGCTGAGTCAACATCGAGTAGATCTTGGTTGGGCTTCTGACCAAGCTCCCAATTTCCGCGGCCAGTTTCGTCATCCTTATCGATACCACCATCGTATTCACCAATCTCCATACCAGAGACAGCTTCAGGCTGATTGCACATCGAAGGAGGAGGATGAGAAGGTGGGGCTCCGAGAGTGTATGGCTTCTGATTCTTGGTCTTCGATTGAGATGAACCCGGTAGATAGAAGGAAGAAGTAGGATCGACTTCAGGGCGGTTCTTGTCCAATATACTTGATTGAATACCAATGCTCGCTTGGGCTTTGGCTAAGGACGCAGAAGAGTGATTCGTGCCAATCTTGTTGAGAGCCGACCGAGAGTTGCCGGAAGTGCTTTGTGAAGAGCTCATCGGCTGGAACGGAGAATGAACATGAATACTATTCCAAGGCAATTTTTATTCTGAGAACTGACCTTGACGTTAGAATTACTGGAATGAGTTGGTTTCTTGGCTTTTGAGGTCTTATCATCAAGTCGGATGCTACTCATACTATTTTCGATTTGATCGATTTGTGAGGAGCCTCTTTGAAGAATCTTTGAAGTCATCTCGTTTGAGGTAGGAAAGGTTTCGTATGTTGCGTAACAGAAGGTGATGATAAGTTGTGTTGAGAATGAGAATGAGTTAGAGTTGGATGAGAAAGTTCAGAATGACTTTGTAGAAATTTGAATTTATCCCTCCGATGCTGAGAAACTGTATGAGTCATGTAACTTTTCACGCGCTCGCGTCCTGTCACAAGTCACTGATCAAGCTCACCAAAAAACAGTGCTCGCTGACTCGTGACTGTAAGGACAAGTTGTTGTCCGCTGGGCTATTCCCGCCGAAAGTATCTCCCGAGAAGTATGCAGCTCAAGCCTGCGTTGGCTCAAGGGCGTAGCCGTAAAATGAAACATCCCCATCATCAAGACCCAACCTTTGCATCAAGAGATGATAGCCAAAGCTGAAGGGACCTTGCCTCGAAGAAATCATGGTATGAGAAGGTTTCTTTTATGTTGCTTGGGAACATACTCTAGAGCAGAAAGTTCATCATTAAAGCCTCCTCATCCATAAGTATCGCATGTCTTGATTCCTTACGAGTCATGACTTCCGGAAGCCACATTGAGGTATTCAAAGGCACCTGCCCGGGATAAATGCACGAGAAGCCAATGTCGAATGGGAGCAAAAAAGTATCATCCGATCACCGATGTGAGTCGGATCTCTTGTATATCAGTTAGAAAGTTTGATCGGGGAGTTGACCGCGAGGCGCAGCAAAAGGTATCCCTCGAACCGGGTTCGAACCGGTGACCTACAGATGCACAGCATCCAGATTGTCCAATTACAGTCTGTCGCTCTTCCAACTGAGCTATCAAGGGTTGAAGCTCGAAGTCATGATGGCTTATGGATCCTGGAGCCTCCAGATGTGCTCTCAATGTTGCTCCATCCACACGCATCATGTACACGCATGGACATGGTTTGATTGAGCCAGGACTTGGAGTTTGAGTGAATTTTGATAATTTTTTGTTAAATTAAGCATGAAGCAAAAACAGAAGTTAACTGAATAATGAAACCAAGATAATCATGAAACCGCACCAGCAATCCAACAATCACATAAAACAATGAATTCTTTGCAATTTTGAAATTAAAAGCCAAAAATCACACATCAAGGGACTCGCATGATTTATTTCATAAGGTTATGTGATCATTTTGTTGTTGTATTTGGTCAATTTCAACAAACGTCGGTGGTGTCTGGAATGTGGTGGTTAAGTTCATATATCATTTTTGCTCCTTTCAGAGTATATCTATGGTGGATAATTTTATGTGCTATATGTTATTTAGGGATTTGTGTCTGATAATGGTCAGACCTCAAACCCTTGCACCTGTTGTCTTTGATGAGTTTTCCATTCAATTTTTTATCTTATATACTGTCCCTCTTGCAATCTATGAGTTCCTACCCAGCATTCAAGAGCTTTGGCTCAAGGGTGAGTGTTCTCATTCTGGTTATATCTGTTTTCTTTAGTAGACAGTGCACATCATTCATTTCATAGTCATCTCTATCTTCTCACAATCAGCTTTGCTTCAGGTAAGGCATCAAGATACTCTGCTGTGTCTACCTTGTTCTTGGATTGGCTCAGAGATTTTATCCACACCTGACTGTACAGTTTACTCATTCTTTTGTTTCAATTCACATGTTTTGTTGTCTATATTACTTCAGTACATTTTTTTGTACCAAATCACTACTAGCAACTTTAAAGCTCACAATACTGTATGATTGCTCAACAGGCATTTCTGCAAGTAATATGTTGCAATACTTCCCTATTCACACCTTTTTTTGATCCCACTGAGAGTTGATATTTACACCTGTTGCCTTTGCTCTGTTGCAAAGGCATAAATTACCAATTGATATTCAACTATTCCATAAACGTACACAGCTTGGGATCATCCTGATGATTCTTGTAATCCACTGTCAAATACTAGAGTCTATATTGATTTGATCTTTGTATCTGTAACCTGACCCAAACTAACAGCAAGCTGAAATATATCTGAGAGGAATTCAAGTGTCATACTCTAGACTTCAGTTTTGCTTTCAAAAATCCATAAAAAATTGGTATCAGTACAAACAAGACACACACGTACATACCATTACTCCAGTCAAAACTTCCTGCCTTGTACAACCATGACTCAAAGAAACAAAAATGTTCTAGTGATTCAAGCATTTCAAAAAATCCCAAATCCTTTAGTAATGTCTGAGATGTTGAGGGACTTTTCCTTTATCTCTCATTACTTATGTTTCAGATGTCTTTCTCTTCAACTTCAGTTTCAGACATCGTAATCTGTTTTTCAATTGCCTGTAAAAGTTCTTACTGGAAGCAATTATCGTCACATTCAATTTTACATAATGCTTCTAGAAAATCAAATTATATTCATCTCATGTGCTAATTCCTTCCAACTCATATAGCTGGTCTCTCTCGAAGGCGCTCTTTCCCTTTCTCTCTTTTCCTCATCCGTTATTTTACGAGAGGAAAAGAGAGTAAGTCACTATCACTGTTTCTTCTTATATGTTTATGTTACTAATTATTATATACGATTTCTTCTTGTTTTCTTTTGTCTATTTCACCTATACGTGTGCCAAAATTAGAACAAATAACTGAGAGTATTTGTATTGCACGCTTTTCTTTATTTCTTAATCTGAACTTGCAAACCTTATAGGTCAGATTATATTCGAGTCTTATATTCTTTTCATTCATTCTTATCTGACATCACTTTATTATGTTGTTGTTATTTCTCTTATGATCTTTAAGGTTAGTTAGCAGGTTCATTGTGACTGAGGTGATTGAGGCTCACCTCTAGATATTGTCACAAGTTTATCAGTTTATCAGGTTACCATCAACAGGATTTTTTGCTTTTCATGAGATTGGAGCATTCATGAGACCCTTGTTTTTTGGTCCATAGGAATTTTCCCAATTCCAATATTAATAAGGTTGCTGATCTGAGGCACTAATATCTTGATTATGAGCCCTGGCCAGTTTGATCCTTTGAGCCACTCACAGCTGACTACACCCTGCTGGACACTGGATGGGAACTGAGTAGATGGAAAATGAATATGGACCTGACACAATCCCCTGATGGACATTCTTTGGATATATAAGAGCCAGAGCCACATCACATCAGTCTTCTTTTCAACATAGTGGGATTAAAACCTTGAAGTATGTGAAGAGTTTCAACTAAGTTATGAAAATTTCATAGTTATGTCTGATGGCTTGAGCTCAGTATTATATTGGAAGGACTAATTTCTTTCCACTTTTGTGACTCTTCAATGCTGGTAAAAATCATAAATCCAATGTCCAATGAAAAATGGGGCCGCTTGTTTGATGAATATGACAGCCCAGCATTCTCACTGTGACATCTTAAGGCTGTAGGCCCTCAGGGTCCTGAAAAACTACTTTTCTTGAGGCTCATAGAACCTGAAATGTTCAATAACTCTGCAGGAATAAATCAGTCTCAAAACCAATGGAAGAGAGTTGTGGTGACTGGGTCCACAACTTTCTTCAATCATGGGTTTTGTTTGCCTTGTGTTTGCCATAGATTTTATGATTACTCTTGAGTCAGCATGCCCTGAATTCTATATCATTAAGTCCATTTGGCTTGACTTTCCCTTCTTACTCAGATATCACCCTTTCCAACCTCTACATTTTTTTCCAAATCCAGAAAGACTAATGATATATTGTAACCTCAATTCCATACCTTCCATATTTTTGGATGTCACTATGTATGCCCATGCAAAAGCACATTGAAGACATGCAATGAGGTTTATCCTGCATAAAGGTGTGAGGTTGAAAGGGAATTCTGGTTATTGCTGTGCATACTGAGGCATAAAGAAAAGTGATGATCCATGGGGTGACTGATAGGGGAGGATATTTGGGACTGAGCAGTGCATGAGCTGACATGCATATTCTTCATGGGATAGGCGGACTCAAAGGTAATCAGCCAACCTATGGCAAAGTTGAGGCAAACAAAACCCATGGTTGGAGAAAGTTGTGGACCCAGTCACCATGACTTTCTTCATTCAGGCTTCAGACTAATTTATTCCTGTGGTCTCCATTCACCTTAATCCAAGTTGAGTAATTGAAGCCATTGCCTTATAATGACATGATAGATTTCAATCACAACATGTAATCTGTTGTGATCAGATATGACTATGTTTGAGTCATGATATGATCAGAATGGACACTTTAATCAGTATTTGATGATTGAGGGATGGGCTCCAATAATGCACCCCAGCTAATTGTGTATAGGATTCATCCTCATGCTGTGGTAGAGTGTATTTGATTGTGCACTAAGGAATAAATATCTTTTGAACTTTTTGATACAAAAAATCTTGCTTTGAAGCACATCAATGCTTTGACTAACTTGTTAAGAGATCACATTGATATACTGGGTCAGCTCCTTTGTTGAGATATATGTAAGCAGACAGTGACCTTCAAGAAAAATCCACACAATCTGGCCACATATTAATCAATCCTAGAACTATGAAAAGCTTACTTGAAATATTTGGTCACAAGTACTGAAATGCTTGAATATAAACCACCTGGCACAATGAGCAAGGAATCATAATTTGTTTGTTTTCTTGACTAATGTTTCCAACTGGGGGTCTAGCAGCCCTGCACAGCGTAATGTGGAAAAGGTTAAAATTTTGAAATAAATAGAGACCACAAAACATTGAGGGATCACCATTGCAAAACAGGAAGTGATGGGATGACTGACAAACTTGGAAAATTCAATTGGGACAATGACTTGGTTTGGGTCAGGATTTTGGAGAACAAACAAGTCAAAGAAGAGGTAGTGGTGTGTGACCAGCCTAATTGGTCAAAAATTAGAACACAGTAAAGACACCTTCTTTTCTTCTTGGCAGAGAAAATCAGAGCAAACCATTGCACAAGAGGAACCTTGTTAAGAGCATCTCCAACGGTGCCTTGTAAACGTAACAATACGTAAGCTGTATGTTACGTTTACAGGGTTGGGTCAAAAAACGACCCTCCACCGGTCGGCAGATTTCTCACCTCTGGCCACTCGTGTGAAGTTTGGTTTGAGGGATACTGGGTATCGCATGTCAAGACCTTCATGCATGAAGGGCTTTCACAAAAGATGCAGGAAGCAGTATTGGCGACGTTTAGGACATAATCATACCACATGCGTCCAAAGATAAATATGATAATCGAAAGAAATCACAGCACACCGTTATATCCCCAGAACTATTCAAAAGGGAATTGGCAAATCTTAATTTAGAGATCCAAAAAGGGTTCTCCCAAGGGTTTAAGTGACAATATCAGGTCTTCCCTCGGCCTCGGGTTTTCCTCGGTCTGGAAAGACCTCGGTTTTGGGAAACCCTTGGCCTCAGTGATGAGGCTTGTTCACGCGGATTGTGCTCATTGTGCATCACCGCGCCGAAAGCAAAACCGCGCTCCAGCGCATCAGCGCACGAATGAAATGAGCACGAACAGAACCAAACTTGCATTTACACACAGACGAGAGCGCAATACTAACGACTAAAGAGCGAGGAAACGGTGAAAGAAAAAAATACCACCTATACTTTACCGCCGTCCCACAATCGCCGCCGTGGCGCGAAAATGGCCAAACACACTTGAGAGATAAATTGAGAAAACTGATTCACAAGTTACGACAAATTATGATCGTGAAACTGAAAAAGTAAAGAGAGGCTACCTGCCGGAATAACGGACATACCTTCATGATGCGTTCCCAAGGTCGCCGTTGCTTTTGTGTTTTTGACGTCTTTGACTGACTGCTTGGATGGGATGGATACTATAGCTCTACGAGATGAGCCAACCTATCAAAAGGCTTCACATAAGCAAGCACAAGGAAATGAGAAGTTGGATATGTGGGCATCTTTACAAGCTGCATCAGATTATAAGCTTACTCATCGTCATCAGACCATCCAAGTAGTAAGTTGAAGACGTCAAAAGACAAAGCACGATCACGTGTCAGAGAAGAGACGACTAATCAAACCAAGCTCTGAATAGAGAAGACCGGCTTACAAGCTGTAGATGCCTCCACGGCAGACTTCCAATCTTCCTAGTTCAAAGACTTCAGTCCAAACCAATACATCATGTTTTAGACTGATTGAATGATGAAAACACTCTGATCAAGTGAGGATAGGATTTGAGAGTTGACTTACAAGTTTGAGATGACAGGCAGCACTATTTGCGTTAAGAGTAGCTCGTGAACTACACAAGAAAAGTCAAATAAGTGATCTACTCAACCTAGCAAAGCTCTCGAGGTAACTGCAAGTCGGCTTTCACTAAAATGAAGAGCCTTGATATCATATGGTACCATATGAGTTCTTGAGCAACTTGTCAAATTCACACTCGACCTTGCATACCAAATTCAAGAATTTAGGAATCATACTTTCTTTCAACTTGTGTAAAAGAAAGCTTACCCATCTACTCTGATATCAGCTTTTGAGCTCATATACCATTCAATCAAATACAATTGTGTCATCCCATCCATTGAGTCATCTTGGGCTGCAAGCACTAGCCAATTTTCAATTAACGAACCTAAGATCAAAGATGTATCAACCCCACTTTCCATCTCAAACAACCATACCAATGAACCTGTGTGCTGATCTGATACTTCTATTGTCCTGGATCCAGTTTCTTCATTAAGTTCAACAACCAGGTTCGGATCATGGTATTTGAACAAAGCTGACGGGCGATAAGATCAACAAATTTTGGGAAAGTGTGTCATGATTACGCGGAACTCGGTGCAGTACGACGAGGAAAGCAGTGCGTTGAACAAATTTTGGCAAAGTATGTCAAGATTACGAGTGACTCAGTGCAGTACGAGGAGGAAAGAAGTGCGTTGAACAAATTTTGGCAAAGTATGTCAAGATTGCGAGTGACTGAGTGCAGTACGAGGAGCAAACCAGTGAGTTAGAGAACAATATCGCCAAAGCGGTGTCAAATGGCCCATGTTGATGATCCCCCCTCCTCAGGACAGCGTCCTGGTCAGCAAGCGCAGCGGCCAACCAATTTGCCTTCAGCAAGGGAATACGACCCCCATCGCACCTTCTTGAATTCTTGGCTTCACGGTGTCTCCTACCGTCAGTGAAACGGACGCATCTTTGGATCCAATTGGGTGCGCCTGCAACACGCCATCCTTGCGTTTGCGTCTCACAGCGCTAAAGATCCGCAACACAAGTCGCTCAGGCATCAAAGCATCGGCAATCGCGTCAATGTTTTGATCCCGCTGATTCCTGAAACACAACTTTTGATGAAAACATTGACCCCGCGACGCTACGTCCGCTTCCTCACCTCGAGTCACCGCGACGACGACGATCTCCGTTTCGAGAACAGCGACGTCCGCCGGACTTTTGATTTGATTTCCAGAGACCCCACGGTCCAAATTCCCAATTCTCTTCTCTCACCAAAATCTTGTGTCGCATTACCGAGCCCCATACTGAAAAGTTCTGGGGATATAACGCCAGAGGAAATCACATATCAAGTATATAGTCAATGAGATATCAGTCAACTTTTAAAAGGAATATTGTGCGCTTTCGGCGTTTTTGGCAGGAGCACAACCTTGGAAGTCCCTCCATCATGTGCGCGGTGGAGGGAAATCATTTTTTAAAAAAAATACAGCTTACTGTATGTTTTCAGACAAGCCTATACGCCTTTTGGCGATTCAGGACTGTTGGAGATGCTCTAAGGTAAGCAAATGCACATGTTTGGTCTGCACTGCAATAACTCACACACCCCGCTGGAAGTATTTGTGGTGTGGGAAGGTCCAGAAAATTTGAAGGTACACCAAATGAAAAGCCGCCTGACGGGTCTGGGCCTTGCTACAATTACAAATGACCTTTTGGGCTATATATACCAATCCATGAACCTGCACTTTCACATGGATCAATTTGAAATTGAACCATTCAGTGATCAGATACCCAATTCCTCTTTGACACTTGAATCCTTGGGAGATAAAATCTACAAAGCAGATTTTGAAATCACCAGACTTTATGAAAGGGCACATAAAGCATTGCGCCAGTAGGCTGTGGGCCATCAAATAACCAACCACATATCCACATGACAAACCAGAAAACCATGTAGCCAAGCTCTGGTGTGAGACCATGTGTATTGGTACAAATCAAGAATTCACACAAAATATGATGGAAACATAATGTTGAACCCACATTTCTGAAGTTCCCCCAGAAGACCATATAATAGTATTAAAAACCATAACAGCTTATGAAAATACTTTTTCAAACAGTTAATCACTTCCTACTTATTTCCATTTTGCTTCATCATTCACAAAAAGTTGAAACATAAAGATTGATACACAGTTATTCAAAGAGTCATTTACTCATTTCCCTTGAGTCTTGGTCATTTGTGCATAGTATCCAAAAACAAACTCAAGTATTAAATTGGCAGCCGGGCAATCCAAGGATCTCCGTGATATGATTACGGGATTTGGAAGCTCGCCAATGAGGCATGCAAGAGCGCTATGAGTCATGACACTTGGGCATAAGCATTTGAATGAGTTGGGTCATGTGAAACTCTCCCCAAGGCTGAACAATGGATATGCTGCGTTACTGCGGCCGGGGCTCGCGAGTCTTATTCCGTGCAGCTTCGAATGCTCTCGGAAGGTAAGGGATATTTCGAGTTGACCATTTTCTTTGTTGACTTGGAAAGTAACAAGCACCACACCAGACACATCCTCATCATGCAACAGCCTACGATCAATTTCAAGCCAAAGTACACTCAGCCAATCACCCTAGATGCTCTACTGGAGTTAGATCCTGGTTTCATTACAGCCGAGATATCAAGACTGGAGAATTCTATCAATCACTTGACTCGGTCAAATTCGGATTTGCTAATGGCCGAGAAGGAGGAAGACGATGCAGCAGAGCGTAAGGTTTTTGTACTGGCCCGAGAAGAGAACGAAGATGTGATGTATGTTGTTTCAGCGCCTTGAAAGATTGGCCTCGAGCTGATGATGTTGTTTAGTGAAAGTCAGAGGGAACGAATCACGATGATGAAGCTTGCTCTCAATCAAATGCTCGGTATCGACTCCGACAATCCACATTACGCAAAAGATAAGGCAAGGGGAGAAGGGGGGGATGATAGGACTATACCTCGAGCTGACCCTGTTAGACGGGAGCCCACCAGTTCGGATGAGGATGTGGGAGTATTTGTGTAGTGGGGACATAGTGAGAAGCCGCCAAATAAGTTGAGGAGGCTGTGTCTCGTGAAAGTTGAAGGGGATGAGACGGGGCAGCAATTGCAAATCAGGTGCACATCGCATATTGCATAATTCAAGGCAGAAACAAATTGGATTGAAGGGCATGAATGTACAAAATGGGAGTGATTCCAACTAGTGACCAGCCCTTCGGCTTTCGGCAATAACACCAGTGAGTTCATCGACTTTGCGCTTTGCACGTCGAAGGGTACCGAGCTGTGCGAAAGTACGTGTTCAGAACTCTTCAATAGATTATGATGATGTTTGAGTAGCTAGTATACATACCCTGCGCTTGGTGAGTTTCCTTGCCTTCTTGTCCTTCGAGTTTCGGATAAGTTCCATCACACGTCGTTCATAAGGGGCAAAACCAGCGACCTCGCGGACGATTGAGCGGACAAACTGAAACAGAATACCATTATGAAAATCAGAACAGGTGAGGCTGTGAGTGGATGAGTGTTCGAGGCGTACAGTGGTACGCTTGGAGGCGTGACCCTTGCTGTAGGATGGCTTAGCGGGGAGCACACGAGCAGTAGTCTTGTGACCAGAGTTGAGACCCCGGGGAAGACCTATAGAAGATGCCACAAAGTCGAAAAAATGATTTAGTTTCTATCCATGTGAGCTGATCCGGAAAATGGGAGTTTCATGATGGGTGTCGAAAAATCGGCTAAATGGCCAAAGTGATCGATGGACGAAAAGTCTAACCTGTGCGGACGGGGGCCTGGCGTGTGGATTGAATTCGTGCCATTACTGAGATCTTGAGGCGAAAGTTGTCTTGAGGTGGGATTAAAGCTCCGGGGTACCGTTTGGCCTTTCGCTATTGTGAACCGAGTGTCTCAGTGGCGGGGGGGAATTGAAACCTAACGATACTCTCATCAACTAGGTCAAGCAATTTTCAACCGCCCCCCCGATTGCCTCGATTTTACACACCTGTCTCAAGCCCTTCTGAACGCGATTGTAACCTACCCAACCTCAAGCTCACGCCCCTCAAGACACGATGCCGCCGAAGTCAACCCCCAAAGCCGATCCTAAGGGTTTGCCGCCTGTTCCATATCACCTTCGATTTTCAGCCGATGTTAATGTTAACTTATGATTCATGACATTCCATCCTACCAGCCTCTGCTGCCAAGCCTCAAGTGGCCAAGGCTAAGGCAGCAAGGAAAGCAGTTGTGAAGGGGACCACTTCAAAGACCCAGCGCCGAGTCCGTACCTCCGTCACTTTCCGTCGCCCCAAAACGCTTCAACTAGCACGGAAGCCAAAATACCCCCGAAAATCCGTCCCTCATGCCCCCCGAATGGATGCCTTCCGGACCTTGATTCGTCCTCTCAACACTGAAAGTGCTATGAAGAAGATTGAAGACAACAACACCCTTCTTTTTATTGTTGATTTGAAAGGTGGGTACCTTTGCGTCGAGCCAGGCTTCATCAAATGTTGATTCGGAATGCGCTCCCCTGCAGCAAACAAGCGACAAATCGCCGATGCCGTCAAGAAGCTCTACGAGGTTACACCTGCGCGAATCAACACCTTGATCCGGTGAGGCTCTCTTCACATATACTGTCCATAGCCGCAGCATCGACCTGACGTTTTCTCTTCCGTGTCAGACCCGATGGCAAGAAGAAAGCTTTTGTACGACTACAGCCTGAGGTTGATGCTCTGGACATCGCTAACAAGGTCCGTCATTAACCTGCGCATGCTCTTCATCGAGTTTCTGACGGAATGCTTCTTCCTTTAGATCGGTTTCATTTAATCATCTCACTCTTCGCTTGAAATCTTTCTTACTGTTCGTACGTTCAATATGCTCTCGGAGATATTACCTTACCTCAATACATGTACTGCTCCAATCAAACTATGCTCGGGTACATCGACACTACCTCCTTGTTACTTCAGCAACCGGACGTCTTTCTGCGTGCCCCTGTAAACCTACAATCATGCCCTGCCTTTCATCACTCAGTCAAGCCATGCTTTCTCACAGCATTCCTGATCCATGTCGACATGTTTCATCAAGGAGCTCGAGTGAAGATGTACCTTATCCAGCCAAGAGTTCATGATTTCTCCTCTAGATGAGTTTGACAACTCCCAAGGGAATAGAGATATGTGCCCCAAGGATGTCCCTGCCTCATCGACTCGTAAAGGTGGATCCGCCTATGAGCCTACATATCAATGATCTCCTGAGAATTGCAAGCCTTGTCTCATAATTGACAGAGCTGACGCTACCATACATCGGGTTTATACGATCTACGAAGTTGAGGACAGCTTTCACCAGACTCGATCACGATATTGAGGACTGTCCGTAGATCCTCTCTGAAACCCAAAAAGATAAAGTGCCCTAGGGATTGTGAAACAAGCTAGAAACACAATAGTACCATTAATGTTGCCACTTACACGATTTGAACGCTGCTATTAGGTAGAGACTTGTAGTCAATTCTGATAAGTTGACCAAGGCTAGCCCGCCAAATTCAAGTGATTTGGGGTGGAACTCTTGTCAAGCCTTGTGAAATTAACTGTAGCTAATTCCTATTGTGCCTCGGTGTGGACATGAGATGTGAATCAAGGGAATTACTTCTTGCCCGTAAATTTTTGCACGGTAGGTTGAGAAAATTAGTAGAGAAAATCTTGTATCTCCTTTTTACACCCACTTCTCAATATCAACTGATTGGGAGAAATTGTCTGTCGCGTGTGCCTACTTGTTCTTCATATTTACCTTTACTTGATTGTGAAATGCACAGCATGATCCAAAATTTTGTGACATGCAGCTGAAAACCAGTTGTTTTCAGCTCCAAATGCAGTATTAACAAGTTTGGAGTGATAGCCAAAAAGAAGAATAAGACAAGCAAACAGAAGAAATAACAAAAAAAGCTGGCACTCAAGGTACACTAATCTCTCTCAAACAGTTGGAATCAAAAGTGGGCATAAAAGGAGATATAAGAGTTTCTTTGCTCATTTTCTCAACCTCCCATGCAAAATATTTGGAGTAAGGAGTATGTCCCTTATACCTCAGGCAACTGTGTCAACATGAAATGTACTTGTTTCCACCACACCAGATTTCAATCATTTTAAATAAAAAGTCCTCCAATAAAAAATTACCAAGACATTCACGGACAAACTTTTTGACAGTTCCTACAACAGGATCCCTAAATTTCACTTTGTCAGAATGTCACAGCTGGTTCCACTATACGAGGCTGGGTTGCCCTGACATCTACAATAAACACCAGATTTTATGGAGCACTATACCTGAAAATGATGTGATACCAATAACTGTGTAAGAATCAAGAGCCACAAGCATGATGCTAGCCAGTTGAATTGCAAAGAAAAAGAGGTGGTGTTGGAGAATATCATTCTTGTGTAATGTGTCCAAACCATCAAGGTAGAAAGGACTCAGTAAACTTTTCTAGACAAATCAATCTAAATTTAATGGAAAGATGTTATGGAGTAGGTAGCAAGGATGATGTTAGATGGCAATGGCTGGATTGGGATTACTCAATTGAGTGTTAAGGAGAGAGTTGAAAGACTGTATTGTGATGAATTATTTGTTTGTTTGTGTTTCATTTTATGCTTGCAAACATTTGTGTTCTTGTTGTTTTTCTTATTAACCCTCTACTGTCCCCTTTCAAATTCTTTCCCCCTCATTGAGGAAATAGATTTGAAAGGTAAGAGTAGAAAATCAATAATTTTTCACTTACTCCCTTCTGGCATGAACATTACTGAAGTGTTGATTGTTTTTTCATATGTTTCTTTCTTTACCTTCTTTACTCCTTAGTTTTCAATTACTTCTATCATACTCTTTCCCTCTCCAGGTTGGTCTAATACGAGTATAGTACACATTTACTTTTGTTGTCAGCCGTTGCCTTGTCACCACAAGGCTGAGAGTATTTTTTTGCCTTTAAAGGTTAGTAGTGTCATTGTGGTTGTGTGTATGTTTTATCTCATCAAGTAGATTGATTTGAAAGCTTTTCCCTACATCTATCATCCTTGTTCCCTCTCCAGGTTTGTCTATCTTGAGTTGAGTACTTCTTCACTTTTGTTGTCAGCTGTTGCCTTGTCAGCACAAGGTTGAGAGTTCTTTCACCTTTATAAAGGTTTGTCTATTTTGATTTTGGTACTTTTTTACTTTTTTCAGCTGTTTCCATGTCAGCACAAGGCTGAGAGTATTCTTTCACCTTTATAAATGTTCAATCTTTTCTTTGTAGAGCTTAGTGTCTCTGCAGGTCTCACATTCTTACAGGTGGTTCACTGATCAAGAAGCCCTAGAGCAGGAGAGACTTGACTATTTCTCTTTGATATTGTTTCAAGTGTACTGAATTTTAGGAATTGAGAAATACCAGGAAATATATTGCAGAATATTCCAAACTTCAACATCAAAAAAATGTTTGCCTTTCCTACACAAAACATTGTGGGCCAACTCAAGTGGGAATAGTATTGTATGTATTCAGTGCCATTTGATAGGTGTAAAGGACTCTTAGTCCTCACTTGAAGGAAAGTCTCAAAGAGGGAACGGGTTCAGATTGGTCACATAATGGACTTGCTTTTCTAGAACCCAAGTACTGATATCTATATTGCCTGACTCCAAAGGACATGAATATGAGATGAGTCTCAATTCCCTAAGGAGCCAGTACAACGAGAATTCTCAAATGAGAAGTAATAGGATAACTGTTAAGTCATAAGGTTATGTGTCTAAGTTATAATTTGTGGTGTATGTTTATAGTTGACGTGTTATGCTTGTAATGATGGAATGTAATGATGGAAGCATCATTACAATAGGCCGGAGGGCCATTATCTCTGTATACAGCTCAGCAGTATCCAAGATATGGTGGAATTGGCCTTCAGGCTGAGCAGGTGCCAATGCCATCCATGATCCTTAACAGCTTAAAATAAGTCACATACCACACAGAGAGTGTAGTTTCCTTCTCAATGATCTATGAGTCATCCACACAAAGCAAGATACAACATAAGTTAGAAGGTTGCTTTTAGTGTGATAAGAAGAGTTTGATAGATGAGGAAACAAACTCTTTAGACTACTAGGTAAATATTTATAGAAAAAGGAAAACAAAATAATAGCTCGAGTTAAGGAAGACACTTGTGAGTTGTAGTGATGAGAGAAAACAGTATCCAAGCTACATATTAAATCATGAAATGAAATGGCAATCTCGAGATTTACAGACACAACAAGAGCACACTACACAACGCTGCAACAGGAATAACATAACACACTTGAGCGCATACACTAAACAACTAACATGATTGATGGTATAGGTTTTGTCCAATCTAGCCCATATTACGTGAGGGTTTGAGTTATTTGAAGGAACATGAACATGAAGACACATCATGTCATGGCAAGAAAAGATTTTGAGCATGGTCAAGACCATTAAAAGTGTTGAGCTATACATACGTAACAAGAGGTGTTGTTAGCTTCTTTCCTTTCTCGAATTCTTCTTTGGTTGGGTATACATATGTGTTGGTGTATCTGACACCCCACAATTGTGACCTTGTGCCAGTTGTTTCAGATGTTCCTGCACATTTCTTAAGCATCTTGCTTTCAAGCTTCAAGTTAAGTTATTTTCTGTTTGGATGCAAGAGTAAGAGCAAGTTTTGCATGGAAATCCAGGTGAGCTTTTGTGTGTTCCATACATTGACCCCTCAAAATCTCACACCCATGTGTGTGAAAGAGCTTGGCAAAACTGAGGATATCTCCAAAAGGGAGGTGCTTTGGAGTCACTTGTTTGGTGGTTGATGTGAGGAGGACACACAAGCTCACCTGACTTCCTGTGCACAACATCTTTTGGAGATCCAATCAATGTGATTGATGTGGTTGGATATGTACTGAATGAGCACTGCCAAGGGGGCGGTTTTCTCCCATCTCAGACAGTCTTATGCCTTACAGCCAATGTTTCCCCTTGTCCATCAAAATTGCAAAACTGCCAAGCTGAAGGGTGTCTTAATGTTTATAGTTCTTATTCTAGATTTGTTACTGTGACAGGCAAATTCCTAATCCAAACTGTGGAAGGAATTCTTCCATGTACACAGAAACAGGTCTTCTCCTCACAAAGTTGCTGCATCATTCAAGTTAACCAAGAACAATAGAATCAGATTAAATTGGCAAATTGAGAGATTGGACTAATCAGAAAATCATCCACATTCATATCAAAGGATCATTCATATACAAAACTCGACAATGCCTCCACTTTCAACCTGCACAAACACAGAGTTTAACCAGCAGAAGTTACATCTGCAATAATCATTCTCCATCTTCTAATGGCATCTGTTATTTGCTTGATCCCACTGGCATATCATCACAATTTTATATATCTTTCCACTATGCGTTGAATTCATACGAGGAATCGCAATTTGGTCTCGTGAGCACATTTTTTCATCTCAGCATACCCCACCCAAACAATCCGATCATCAGCATAGCAAAGTCGCAACTTTGAAGACAAACCGGCGCAGAAGGTATTCCTATGGAAGACATCATTGTACCAACTCACAAACGGGGTCTTAGTCTTGCAGCATCACATACACTGTCAACACGTTGTGCCACGTGTGTGTGACTCCTCAAGAACATTAAATGTAATCATCACAAAACATCCGCTTCATCAAAGTGAGATTATTCACAAGTAGAAGTATAAAGACGCGCCGTAACCGGTGTGCTGAGGTCATTGCAGGATAATCAGACTAAGACATTAATGAGTCTAGACAGATATAAGCCACGACAGCAAAAAAGACAAAGATTTTGATAATGAAAAACAAACAAATTGGAAGAAACGACGAAAAGATGCAAAAGTAGATGATGTCAAATGACAATGGAGAACGACAAAACTGGGGTGACTCAGACACTACATGATTCCAGCAATGTAGCGCATTAGATCTGTAACTAAAATAAGACTGTTGATGA